AGAACGTTTCAAAATATACTTCATAATTTGCTCTAAAATGTTTTATTCTCTTATAAGTTGAGACTGGCGGGATTATCGACAGGCAAGGGAACATTACCAAAGAGATAGAAGCGATTTGCTTCACTGCTCCTTCTCTGTTGATATGGAGAAAGTTCTTTTACTACCACACATGCCGGAGTACAAGGAGGCGATTTTTTAAAGACGCCTTGTCACATTTAACGAGACCTTCGCGAGGCTGGGGTCAGACGGAGCTCCTTTAGCGATTCTTTGGAATGAGTCAATCGCAGGAAGGAAAGATGAGAATGTGTCCTCGACTTGGATAAGGGCAATAAAACATTTTGCCAGTTGGCAAGATTGGTGGTAGCAGATTTGGGCAGACAATTGTTCTGCTCAAAACAAGTGTTGGACTTTATTTACTGCCCTATGTTCAATTATCAACAGCCCAGATGTTGACCTGGACAAGATAACGGTCAAGTATCTAGAGCCAGTGCACACCTTTATGAGTGCAGACTCATTCCACCATAAAGTGGAGTTGTCCATTAAACAATCAGGTCAACTTCATGATTATAAGGACTTTGTTCAGGCAGTTGAACAGGTGGGTACTGCGATAAGCAAGAACTGCACAGACTTTGAAACGTGGCCAAGGTCCTAGTACGGAACAAGCAACTAAAAAACTAAAGATGTTAAAGTTGTAAGTTTCCAGCGTGGGTCTGTAGAAATGGAATGGAAAACAAATCATGACGAGGTTTCCCTTCATTTCACTCCATTTCTCAGACAAAAAGACGAGAGACTCATTTCCATAGGTTGAAAAATAGCTTTCGCCCAGGAAGAGCCCCGGGGGATAGCTACTCCCAAAAAACAAGACATTATATACGTAAACTGTGCAGGCTTATGGCCCCGAGTAGTAGGGTATTCTGGATGAACTTGCCTGATAGTACAGATATAACAGATCTTAATCGAGTGTTTGACTAAAAATCATCTATTTCTTGTATTATTTACCATTTATTTATGTACAACAATTATGTTACATTTTTATACGCTTGTTTTTCTTTGCCTCGCGTTACGATATCAATAATTCGCAAATCATTGGTCTTTATGAAGAAAGCCTCATCTGAGTTCTTAATTTAATTTCTAAAGAAAGAAAATTATTTATTATTATCCCGTACTTTCACCAATCAACTCTTCGTTGAAATGCTGGTAGAATTCCGACTATTTTTTAATCCGCTGGGGAGAAGGGAGTGTTTTCGTGTTCTTAAACCACCACCAATCAATTTGTCGTAAAATTTTAGGTCAGAATGATCGCAGATAAAGTTCCCACTAATGTGGCTGTACTTAAGCACTTTTCTCAGAAAACAAAATTTTTAAATTTTCTATTTCAGCGTGTCCCCTATTTACAACTAATGTTTCATCACAACAGTTTTAGGCTAATTTTTCGTTTTACTTTCGATGACCAATGGTTTGAACGGGTCATTTTCATCAGAACATGGAGCTTTTGCTGATGTGGCTGTACTTAAGCACTTTTCTCAGAAAACGAATTTTCAAATTTTCTATTTCAGCGTGTCCCCTATTTACAACCAATGTTTCATCACAACAGTTTTAGGCTAATTTTTCGTTTTACTTTCGATGACCAATGGTTTGAACGGGTCATTTTCATCAGAACATGTAGTATTTGCCGATGTGACTGTAATTAAGCACTTTTCTAAGAAATTCAAACTATAATTTGTGATTTTGAGGCACTTTCAAGAAAACAACAATTTTTCAAGAAAGTTAGGATGATGAAACCTTGTCAGAAGTCTCAAAAGTCGACAAAGTACCTTAGAAACATAGTGGGTGCAGTTTAAATTGGACAGTAGCTAGCCCAGAGCAATTACGGAATTGAAATCTTTAACCTCAATTTGCACAAAATGAACCTTGTGTTACTTAAGCACTTTTGTCAGAAAACGGCAGACTTGCACTTAGGGTTAACTTATAGGTTTATAACCTACCAAGACGCGCGCGCCGAGTTGAACTCGTCGACTAATATTTGAAACAAATATTTTACGAGTATCACCCGTTAAAATAACCGTTGACGAGTCCAACTAAATTTTGACGGATGTTACTCGTCTTAATTTCTTCGAAGTAGCGCGCGCCGCTTTCTTCTCGAAATCATGATACTGGCCCGACGGCAAGTTCTACGAAGTAGCGCGCGCCGGGCCAGATCATTAACAATGGTCAAACTAAACTCGGTGCGCGTCTAGTCTTGTTGGTAAGTTATAAACCTATAAGACCTTACTTAGCTTGCTAGTCTATTGCTCGCTCCTAGACAACACAGGGATCGTCATTTCATTTAATAATAATCAATAATGGCGAAAGCCACGATACGGCCGCGCACTCGTTGCTCTTGCGCGGTGCGGTGGGCTTACAACTTGTAGCGCGATGCACTACCAACTGCTGGGTCGCGCCCGCATCCAATAATGCGCGCATCCAATAATGCTTCTCACAACCACATGCAGATCGGCGAGATGCGAAGGATTGACATCGTGAATCAAGCTTACAACCTGAGAGGCAAGGGGAGATTATATATATAATATATATTCAAAAAAAGTTATGTATAACGGTGCGGAGTAAATAAATTTGATCAATGCATGACCTGTTCTTCCTGAAGTTGAACGCACACTGATTTGCTCTAACCAGAGCCCTCTCGCTTGCAGTAGCAACAAGCGCGTCACGCAGTACGCGTAGGCACATGGCTATGTGAACACACTGATTTGTGATTGTCGTAGCAAACCTACAAACCTTCTAAACCGTCATTCATGCATCATGCATTGTGATATAATATAATGATGTAATATAATATAATGATATGATTTGATACAGTTTAGATGCCGTATAGTAGATCTAATATATATAAAAGTAATCAAGCATGTTAAATCACTTTACAGTCTAGTTGATCTTCGAGATTTTTCTAAAATTTGGGTTAGGCCTATAATAGGGTTACTGGGCCGCGCTCAGCTTGTCATTCCGCCTAATCTCTATTATGAACATGATAGCCTGAGGTCCCCAGGTAAGCCTAGGGTTAGGGTTGGAATTAGATAAGAGTGTTAGGGTTTCGAATAGTCGTTCAGGGCCGGCCTTACCTGGGGACCTCAGGCTATTATGTTCATAAACGTTATAAACATAGAATAGAGATTCAGCGGAATGAAAAGCTGATATGAGCGCGGCCCAGTAAGTTAACGGGTGATACTCCTAAAATATTTGGACCGTCGACGAGTTCAACTTGGCGTGCGTCCTGGTAGGACGGTAGGTTATAAACCTACAAACCGGACAGTGTTTTAAATTGATTGACAATGTCAATCCATCGATATTGTTTCTTTGCGAAGCAGAGCCACGATCGACGATGCGAAGCAAAAATTGACGATGCATGAAGAATCGACGAAGCAAGAATCGACTATGCGAAGCAAAAATACTAAGTCGCGCGGCGCGTCGAAGCGGCGAAGTCATCATATGTTTAAAAATACATATTACACAATTTGGAGGACTTCGCCGCTTCGACGCGCCGCGCAAACTAGCATTCTTGCTTCGCATCGAAGACAAGATCGTTGCTTTGCTTCGCAGAGCAACAATCTGGAAGGGTTGACATCGTCAATCAAATACACAATACAACACAATTATAACTTGCTAAACTTGGCATGGAAGATGCTGTCGCTTTAATTAACCTGGCACACCAATCCCAATGCGGCGCGCGGCTCTCTTTTCGAGATTCTCAGCTCGTAGTCATACGTGAGAGTAGCGAGCATTAGACTACAGACTAGCAAGCTAGGTAACGCTTTTTTACCTTCGGCGGAATGACAGGCTGAGCGCCGCCCAGTAATGTACGTTACACATCTAATCATGACCTTGCACTTGAAGGTCATGTTATCCAGATCCGAGGTATTTGTCGATAGATGCAAGATGGGTCCTGGTATGCATAGCAAGGGAATACTTGCTGAGCTTATATATATATATATTTTTTTTTTTTTTTTATTTATTTTTATATATATACCCAGGAAACCCTACCGGCTGGGGTATATCTCCAAAAGTAAAATAGATAGAACCTTCCGGTTTTCAACAAAATGTCCGTCTCGTAAATTTAAAGGAGGCTCCCCAGGAGCACAATTGGGGACAACTTAGATTTTGATTTAAAGCGAAAAGTTTGATTTTCGGCTAAATTAAAGATCGCAGCTTTTAAACTTTGCAAAGTCATGTCGTTGTCATGACTACTAAACTAAATGCAGCGTGTGAAAGGTAAACTCGATGTGACGCGCGACGCCATACGTGCTGTTGAAAATCTATCACATCTAGCAAGCCCAGCAGGCGGTAAGGTTTTCTGGGTAGGCGAGAGAGCTGAGAATTCATATTTCAGCTGCAAAAGAAAGCAGAAGGAAGGGGGGAGAAGGGGAAGGGGGGGGGGGGGGGGAGTTGCAGGGAGGTAGGGGGATGTTTTGCGATATAAGACTTATAATTTCGGCGGAAAATGTATGAAGTTTTAAAAGTCGATTTTGAGGGCGAAGATCGCGTTTTTACCTACCCATCCAGAAGTCCCCTTTCTTGTTGGCGAAATTCTCTACTTTCTTTTGATATTTTAAAATTGAAATTTGACTTGATTGGTGGAGAGTTATGGTTTGTCAAAGTGAACGTTTTAAAATGAGAGCGCAAATTCTTTTAAACGCGCGTAGGTTCGGCCTATATTATTAATATTAGAACAAGGTCGTTGTAAAACAGATTACACATGAAAATACGTCACTCACAACTCAATTCATTCAGCCTCATGTTTAATTTCGCTCCTACTAAATCGCTCGCCCAAATTTTAAGAAATTTCTTGTGAAAATGCCCTTTGGGTATAAAATTGATCTCGATCGGTGTATTTTTGGACACTGATTCCGAATAACCCCTCATGACGTAGGGTAAAAATGCTTCCCTGGAGAGTTATGGGCAAAAAACCGTTTTGAATTCGATTGTTTAGTGTTTAGGGCTTGGGTTAGGGTTAGGGTTGTGGTAAGGGTAATGAATAGCTTTTGGGTTATACTTATGGTTAGGGTTAGGGTTAGGATTAGGGTTTATGTAAAACCGTTTTGTACGGCTGCAAAACCATAAAAACCAAAGTCACGTGAAATTTTTGGGCGAGCGAATTAGTAAAAGCCGTTTACTTTATAGTTTAAATATTTCATAGAGCGAAAGTTTATTACAAAATTAAATTTAAAATTTTTGAAAAAGCATGTAATTGTATAGTAAAAAGCATGTAATTGTATAGTAATAATAAGTAAAACGTACTAGTAGCTCACGTGTCACGCATTTACCTGGGGATTTACGCATTTACCTGGGGACCTCAGGCTATCAATATCATTTTCATAAACATAGAATAGAGATCAGTAAGTCACGCATGCATTAAAATTTTCAAGTAAACCTTGGACACGTCGACACGATGATCGATTCAAAATGCATCAAATGCTACATTTCAAAGGATTAAAAACATGCTTATAAAAAATAAAATGAAATAACATAATTGATAATACATATCAGTATTACTCTTTTCACTTAAGTTATAAATATATAGTCAGTTTCGCTGCTAGAGATACTGATAATATAATAAAATACATTTTCGTCGCCCTAATTAAATCAAACTTGAAACTGTTTAAACAATTATCAAGATTTACTTTTTTCATGGTTTAGTTTCCAATAATGGCGGCCCCTGTCTGAGCTCCCTTACGTTGGAGAAGAGTACTAATCTGCTGATTATTGTACTTGAAAGCGTCGTCGAGGGGTGTGTTCTCCCAACGATCCACTGGGTTGACGTCAACATGGCATTTATCTATCAGAAATTTCACCACGTCAAGCTGACCTGTAAAAATTGATTACTTGGCATCAAGTACTCTTAGTCTTATCAACTTTTGAATCAGCCCTAACTCCTTACCTAGCTTGCTAGTCTATTGCTCGCTTCTCTGTTCAGGAATTAACGGGTGATACTCGTAAAATATTTGTTTCAACTCGGCGAGTGTCCTGGTAGGTTATAAACCTGCAATTCAGGAAGCTTAAAAAGCTTAAAAAGAGCACCGCTCACAGGGATTGGCATGCCAGGTAACTTACCACTTAACGGGTGATACTCGTAAAATATCTGTTCCATATATTGGTAGGTTTACAACCTACCAGGACCGTTGACGAGTCCAACTCGGCGCGCGTCCTGGTAGGTTGTAAACCTACAACTTACCACCACAAACAGCAAGATGAAGGGCAGTACGGCCGTCATAGTCGGGATAAGCGAAGTTTACACCTTCTTTGAGATACCGATATAGTGTCGTCATCGTTCCTTGGTATGCAGCAAAGAGCAGAATCAGACTCTGTTGGTCCTAACAGAAATTTAATCGTTTAATTTTGGAAACAAGATTATTATAATAGGTAGCGGTAATAACTTAATGCAGGGCCGTGGATTTAAATTTCGCTTTCGGCACATCTCTTCTTCACTTTTCACGAAATCAAGGACTATTCAAGCCCCATCCTCAACAAAAATGGTACACAGGAGAAATTCTCAAACCTTGGTTTCGTGGAAGTCCTTTCTCCTGGGGTCGATTTTGGTTCTGGATCTATCAGAAGGATCGAACTGGTGGAATACGAACCTATCCGTGAACAACTTGCAGAACTGAACCCCTCTAACAGAGTTTCTGCTCCTATCAAGTCTGGGCGAGTAGATACACATTCCCAGGACGTTGGGGATCACCACCATCAGCGCTCCTGACACGTTCGATTTGGCTGGCAGTCCGACCTGTGAGGAAAAGATTGTTGAAAACAGGCAAAATTTAGGGGGAGTGTTAAAAATATAAAGCAATCTGAGATAAAACTGAAATAAATTTACTACTACACGCACGTCACGCAGGACAATTGTCAAGAAATACAGTCTAATGGGTTAGCTTTTCAAACTTTCTGACCTCAAACATGAACTCTCCACTGTAATCGTTAACCCCACAACAGTTCATCATACTGAGACAGTTCCTCACAGCTTCAGGATACACCACTTTCTCTCCAGTCAGTGGACAGAGTCCACCAGATGCCAATGTAGCAGCCATCACAGAAGCGGCGTCACATGACATATCAATTGCACTGTAGTGGATGAAAAGTTCCATTGTTTGTTCTAGCGAGTCCGCCTGGAAGTGGAATGATAATTGTCAGTTTTTAATGGAATTTTATGTCTATCTTGGTTACATATTTGGAATAGCATACATAGTCACAAATTTGCTACCCAGTTACTTGAGAGATACAAATTGATAAAATCCAAGGTCAGAGTATAATTGTGGTAGAAAATAGGAACGTTAATCATCTTGTGGAAACGACATTGTAAATTTTAATCCGATTACTGAATAAGCTCCGTCTCTCCTTGCGGGCGGTACCGCGATATGCTACCCTATTTTGATGACATTCATATCTCGTAATTATTCAAATATATTTCGGCCTTCAAGTGCCAAGAAATGAGCTGCAAACCTGTCTGATGACAACATGTCTTCTAGTGCTTCCAACATTTAACCGTAACAAGCGTCCAATATGAAGTACTCTTAACCAGCAGTTATAAAATTTAATTTAATTTCATAAACTAACGTTAGCCTCTTTGTTGAAACATCCATTCTCCCGTAAGTAATGACCGATGGCGTACAGTCGATTGGAATGGTCTTTCAAAGAGAGGGCTAGAGAGTTGTTAAACCCGACATACTCCTTCCCACAAAACCTGCGAATAATCTGACGACTGACGTGCAAGGAGTAGGGATAGAGCCTGATTTGTTTTAAAAATGGGCGCCCGGTAAAAAGATAGCATTAGTGAAGGAAGATCTAATTTTCTTAGTATGTCATTGTTGTAGGTAGGTACGTGAAATTTCAGTTTGGGGTGGTAGGATGTGGATTGTGGAATGATGATACTCGCTGGTAGCAGCTCCTCACTCAGCTGTACATCAACAATTAATGCTGTTGCTGTAAATTGCTAAATAACAAACTAAGGTATACTCACTGCACACATTTCTTGAGGAAGTATTCAAATCTCTCTGAGAAGCAAAGGCTTGGTTTCATGAGGGAAGCCATGGTTAGTCCTCCAGTTAGAAGCAGAGGATTGTGAGGTTTCTTGTTTTTTAGGTTCAGGGCCTCTCCTTCCGAACCACTGGGTTCTTTTCCGATGTACCTATATAGTGAGAATACAGTTGATACGGCGTTAAAAAGAAGGACGAATTTTAGCAGTATTATTTGTAGGCAAAGGAAACAAAAGTTTATATTTTCATTGGTCATCTCACGCCAAGTATTGTTACTAACTGGTGGACGTAGTCTACAGATTTCTCGGTGCAAGTCAGAGCGTACAACAAAACACGGTTAAGGTCCTGGATCGGAAATGTTGTTTTGGAATCACCCAATGACAATCGTTGTCCGTCAACCGTACAAATGGATATGGCGTACTTTTCTGGATCAACTTTCGCCATTTGTGGCGTTAGATCGGCAACCTGGATGTTTGCTTAGATCATTTTATGAACAAGTTATATATTTGTTTGATGGGCATGTAGAATTCAATATACTCGCTAACAATAAATAAAAACTGCAGTCAGTTTTTACTTTACTCACCTTTCCATGTTTTAAGGATTTGCACTCATCGAAAATTTCCTTGATAACTGAAGTGAACTCACACCATTTAGGGATGACCAAATTTCCACAAATAGCTTGTGTTATAAACACCATGTTCGATGACAGACACCTAAAATATTTGTTCGTTTGGAAATTTTCTCCAAATTCGACTTAAATAACCTACTAAGATAAACTTATGGGCGGGTACGAGCGAATTCTCAGATGAGTTTCATGAGTAAAATCACATTAACTATGATTAAGTAGCCACTTCAATTCCAACTTACTTCTTGAAATCTTCCATGCACAAGACTTCTGGGATACTTTCAGGGTCGTGTCCTAATGCTTTAATCTTATCTATAGTATCTTTGAAGCGAGGATCACTTAGAGGGCGCAGCCCGTTCCTGTTTAGTCCCTGAAATGTAAACAATTTAAAAGTTCGCTGATAAAGTACGAAATACAAATAGTTCTTTTCAATATAAAGAACGAAATTTTGATTTACAAATATTTCGTTAAATGGCAAATATGACTATTCCAAAAGTCAAAAGAACATGTTTAGCAGAAATATTTTTTGCCAAGACTATCCTCTGCAAGTAAAAGATTACATTCAATTATATTATTTACTTTACAGATGTACATACTTTCAAAGTTAACTAATCAGGTATACGGTGTAATTTAGTCTTAAAGAATAAAGATATATGTTTTGTTATTGCATTTAAAGGATAATGACTTAAGAATAATAATTCGAAACTGAAAGACACTCATAACTAAAAATATATTGGCATTGAGATCCGAGGTATGAGTTAACGTAAGTCTTACGATGTACCGATGGAGTTGTTAATTACAGTTTTACAGACTAAAACTAAAACTTACGTGAAGAAATTTAGCAGTGGAGACATCAACCCCATCCTCTTCTAAAAACTCGACTAAGAGACTTTCGTCGATAGAACTGCTGGCAACATTACTCACTTCCGAGCTGAAGAGAACAAACGTTTGGTATGCTGTTCATTTAAACTCCTGTAAATAAATCTGGACAAGTGCCAAAAAAATCATCGAAAACTAATAAAGAAGGTGTTACCAGAAAGGTACGATTCGTGAAGTTATGCAGGCGCCGATCTAGGGTCAGGTCGGTATGATTATGAAGATGAAATATTACGTACACAGCCTTGCTAGTAATAGGTACCCCCAGAAATCCTGCTCCATCTGTTTCTGTCTTCTGGACCATTCCACGACCTGACTTGGGTTTATTAATTTTACTCTGGACCATGATACAAGAGCTGGTCAACATTCAACACAAAGCCAAAAAAACAAAATGACAAATAGTAAGGAGTAAGCATATTTATCAAGTTTATAGTAATCTTATATTAAGAAGATGCTATGATTAAACCAACTTAATTTAATTATCAGAACGGAACGATATCACAATGCTGGCAAGCATTACCGTCGCCCTTATATTCACAATACTATTTACCCCCTATACTATTATATCCCCTTTATTGATTTCCAGGCATTAAGACTCATCGAAAGTAGATCAGCAGGTACATTTAAGTTCAAAACATTCTAATTCAATGTTAAAGATGACAGGAATAAGAAATAGTTATATGGAGGTTTTTAAGAAATTTGCGCAAAATACGCGCCAGCATGTTATACGAAATTAGGTAAAAAACCCAAAATCGCCATATTCAGGTGCCTTAAAAACCATGTTAAAATTGAGTTAGAGATCTGAAACTTTGCAGGGCGTCTAGACCTTGTCCAAATCGACTGTAAAAAAATTTCATGTTTCAGGAGTATCGTGAAGTGGGTTTTCTGGAACCCCTGTTTTACAACAGATTGTCGTGAAGATGTATATATATATAATATAGACGCTTTTTGCAGTCAATTGTAGCCTACATTTAAGTGTCCGTAGACTCGAAAGTATAAACGATACAGTCATCTCGAACCACAGGTTTTAAAGATAATCGTTTAAGCTTTAGTTTACATTGTATTGAAAAATAATTTAACGTCATCATCATCACTTGATGACGTCATCAAATTAAGTGTTTTAAAAACTTGATTTTTGACAAAGTAACAACTTTTCAAATCGATTTTACGCTATTAAGGAGTAATTTTGTTCAAAATCTGAGGACATTTTCATCTTAGATAATTGTTCAAGCATTCCGAAAATCTACCGGAATAGTTTCCTACCTTGCTCCTTCATAAAGATATTTGCTATTGAAGTTAGTGCTTTTTTGAAGAATAATTTTATAAAAACACAAAAGTTGTGAATTAGTATTTGACCAAAACCCATAATCATGGGTAGAGTGAACCGCTGCCAGTGTCTCTCTTTTCCAAACAAAAGAAAATGATATTAATTTGAGGAACTGTCCGCAAATGCAAATTGATACCGAGAATGAAATCGGTCGCTCGCTTTTCCCATTCAATAAGCTTTATTACAATACGTAAGCCGTGAATGAATGGGAAAAGCGAGCGACCGATTTCATTCTCGGTATCAATTTGCATTTGCGGACGGTTCCTCAAATTAATATCATTTTCTTTTGTTTGGAAAAGAGAGACACTGGCAGCGGTTCACTCTACCCATGATTATGGGTTTTGGTCAAATATCATCTCTTTTTGATTATAATGTCAGGATAATTTACACAGTCGAAACTTAATAAGGAGGTAATTTCAACGATTTCGAAATTTTACCTTTGAAAACGTTTCCTTGTGTTTAGGTAGGCATATCTGTCAATAACAGACTGAATATAGCACTTTTTACTCATTCAAGTTGGCATTAAATTCATATATAATGCCATTTTAATATCGTGGGAAAGCAGAATATATTCGAAATCACGAATGAGCAAAATTCTCACCTTTCGCACGTGCAAACTTTGAGCGGACGTTGCGTGCGCATAAAATATTGAATCACCATAAATTTTTGCATAGTGTTATTTAATATATAGTTTGATAAGCATGAAAAGTTTCAGACGATTTCAAAAAAGAACTTGGATCACAACGGGACTCCAAAGTTGGTAAAAATCGTGAAAATAACAATTTTTAGTGATTTTAGCTATTTTAAATGAATTTGGGCGTGTCCCCACGTGTGCAACTTTTTGATTTTCAACTTTAAAACTAGCCTATAACACAATTTACACCTTTAAGAAGCAAAATTGAGCTCCACAACCCAAGGGATGGCCCAACACCAGAGAATACTAATTCACAACTTTTGTGTTTTTATAAAATTATTCTTCAAAAAAGCACAAACTTCAATAGCGAATATCTTTATGAAGGAGCAAGGTAGGAAAACTTTCCGGTATATTTTCAGAATGCTTGAACAATTATCTAAGGTAAAAATGTCCTCAGATTTTGAATAAAATTACTCCTTAATGCTTTAAAATCGATTTGAAAAGTTGTTATTTTGTCAAAAATCAAGTTTTAAAAACACTTAAATTGATGACGTCATCAAGTGATGATGATGACGATGAATTATTTTTCGATATAATGTAAACTAAAGTATAAACAATTATCTTTAAAACCTGTGGTTCGAAATGACTGTATCTTTTATACTTTTGAATCTACGGACACTTAAATGTAGGCTACAATTTACTGCAAAAGCGTCTTATACATATATACATATATATATACATATATTTGACCAAAACCCATAATCATGGGTAGAGTGTACCGCTGCCAGTGTCTCTCTTTTCCAAACAAAAGGAAATGATATTAATTTGAGGAACCGTCCGCTAATGCAAATTGATACCGAGAATGAAATCGGTCGCTCGCTTTTCCCATTCATTCACGGCTTACGAATTGTAATAAAGCTTATTAAATGGGAAAAGCGAGCGACCGATTTCATTCTCGGTATCAATTTGCATTAGCGGACGGTTCCTCAAATTAATATCATTTCCTTTTGTTTGGAAAAGAGAGACACTGGCAGCGGTACACTCTACCCATGATTATGGGTTTTGGTCAAATATCATCTCTTTTTGATTATAATGTCAGGATAATTTACACAATCGAAACTTCATTAACAAGGAGGTAATTCCGACGATTTCGAAATTCTGCCTTTGAAAACGTTTCCTTGTGTTTAGTTAGGTATATCTGTCGATAACCGACTGAATATGGCACTTTTTACTCATTCAAGTTGGCATTAAATTCATATATAATGCCATTTAAATATCGTGGAAAGCAGAATATATTCGAAATCACGAATGAGCAAAATTCTCACCTTTCGCACGTGCAAACTTTGAGCGGACGTTGCGTGCGCATACAATATTGAATCACCGTAAATTTTTGCATAGTGGTATTTAATATATAGTTTGATAAGCATGCAAAGTTTCAGAAGATTTCAAAAAGAACTTGGATCACAACGGGACTCCAAAGTTGATAAAAATCGTGAAAATCAAAATTTTTAGTGATTTTAGCTATTTTAAATAAATTTGGGCGTGTCCCCACGTGTGCAACTTTTCGATTTTTAACTTTAAAACTAGCCTATAACACAATTTACACCTTTAAGAAGCAAAATTGAGCTCCACAACCCAAGGGATGACCCAACACCAGAGAATACTAATTCACAACTTTTGTGTTTTTATAAAATTATTCTTCAAAAAAGCACTAACTTCAATAGCAAATATCTTTATGAAGGAGCAAGGTAGGAAACTATTCCGGTAGATTTTCGGAATGCTTGAACAATTATCTAAGGTAAAAATGTCCTCAGATTTTGAATAAAATTACTCCTTAATAGCGTAAAATCGATTTGAAAAGTTGTTACTTTGTCAAAAATCAAGTTTTTAAAACACTTAATTTGATGACGTCATCAAGTGATGATGATGACGTTAAATTATTTTTCAATACAATGTAAACTAAAGCTTAAACGATTATCTTTAAAACCTGTGGTTCGAGATGACTGTATCGTTTATACTTTCGAATCTACGGACACTTAAATGTAGGCTACAATTGACTGCAAAAAGCGTCTATATTATATATATATATATATCTTCACGACAATCTGTTGTAAAACAGGGGTTCCAGAAAACCCACTTCACGATACTCCTGAAACATGAGATTTTTTTTACAGTCGATTTGGACAAGGTCTAGACGCCCTGCAAAGTTTCAGATCTCTAACTCAATTTTAACATGGTTTTTAAGGCACCTGAATATGGCGATTTTGGGTTTTTTACCTAATTTCGTATAACATGCTGGCGCGTATTTTGCGCAAATTTCTTAAAAACCTCCATATAACTATTTCTTATTCCTGTCATCTTTAACATTGAATTAGAATGTTTTGAACTTAAATGTACCTGCTGATCTACTTTCGATGAGTCTTAATGCCTGGAAATCAATAAAGGGGATATAATAGTATAGGGGGTAAATAGTATTGTGAATATAAGGGCGACGGTAATGCTTGCCAGCATTGTGATATATAGCTTCACGACAATCTGTTGTAAAACAGGGGTTCCAGAAAACCCACTTCCCGATACTCCTGCAACATGAAATTTTTTTTACAGTCGATTTGGACAAGGTCTAGACGCTCTGCAAAGTTTCAGATCTCTAACTCAATTTTAACATGGTTTTTAAGGCACCTGAATATGGCGATTTTGGGTTTTTTACCTAATTTCGTATAACATGCTGGCGCGTATTTTGCGCAAATTTCTTAAAAACCTCCACATAACTATTTCTTATTCCTGTCATCATTAACATTGAATTAGAATGTTTTGAACTTAAATATACCTGCTGAACTACTTTCGATGAGTCTTAATGCCTGGAAAACAATAAAGGGGATATAATAGTATAGGGGGTACATAGTGTTGTGAATATAAGGGCAACGGTTATGCTTGCCAGCATTGTGATTCTCTGGTGTTGGGTCATCCCTTGGGTTGTGGAGCTCAATTTTGCTTCTTAAAGGTGTAAATTGTGTTATAGGTTAGTTTTAAAGTTAAAAATCGAAAAGTTGCACACGTGGGGACACGCCCAAATTGATTTAAAATAGCTAAAATCACTAAAAATTTTGATTTTCACGATTTTTATCAACTTTGGAGTCCCGTTGTGATCCAAGTTCTTTTTGAAATCTTCTGAAACTTTGCATGCTTATCAAACTATATATTAAATACCACTATGCAAAAATTTACGGTGATTCAATATTGTATGCGCACGCAACGTCCGCTCAAAGTTTGCACGTGCGAAAGGTGAGAATTTTGCTAATTCGTGATTTCGAATATATTCTGCTTTCCCACGATATTTAAATGGCATTATATATGAATTTAATGCCAACTTGAATGAGTAAAAAGTGCCATATTCAGTCGGTTATCGACAGATATACCTAACTAAACACAAGAAAACGTTTTCAAAGGCAGAATTTCGAAATCGTCAGAATTACCTCCTTGTTAATGAAGTTTCGATTGTGTAAATTATCCTGACATTATAATCAAAAAGAGATGATATTTGACCAAAACCCATAATCATGGGTAGAGTGTACCGCTGCCAGTGTCTCTCTTTTCCAAACAAAAGGAAATGATATTAATTTGAGGAACCGTTCGCTAATGCAAATTGATACCGAGAATGAAATCGGTCGCTCGCTTTTCCCATTTAATAAGCTTTATTACAATTCGTAAGCCGTGAATGAATGGGAAAAGCGAGCGACCGATTTCATTCTCGGTATCAATTTGCATTAGCGAACGGTTCCTCAAATTAATATCATTTCCTTTTGTTTGGAAAAGAGAGACACTGGCAGCGGTACACTCTACCCATGATTATGGGTTTTGGTCAAATAGTATTATAATATATATTATGATATGTAATACTATATATCATAATATGTAATGTTATTTGGTAGCGTAGAAGAACGAAATTAGCAAACCAATCGTAGGAAGGGAAAAAGGAAAAAACTCCACCGATTGGTCAAGGACCTCACTCCTCAGTTGTTAATATTATTACTGAGACTTATTTTTAAATTAAGTCGCTGCGGATCTGAGTCAGAATCTTTTAATCTTGTGTTTTAGATCACCAGGTCAGATTTCTCACTATCCCACAAACATCGATAGCAGAGATAGCATCCGCCCGTTTTTTAATCTAACACTTATTTTACTTCGGACATTCCAACAGCCATAATTGAATGAAAATTAAAAGAAATTAAACGCGAAAGGTCTTTTGTTTACAACATTATTAACTCGCTAGATAAAAAGGAAATAATCAAGGTAATACAATTACAACATACCATTGAAAACTAATAATACTTGCTGAGCTTAAAAACAAGATAATTGTACTATTAGTATTACTAAACAGATTACATATGAACAGACGTTCGCGTTGAGGTCACTCAATTCAATTCTGGTTCAATTTATAATTTAGATATATTACAAAGCAAAAGTTGATTACAACCTTAAAGAGTTTTGGAAAAAAAAAGCAGTAAATATATAGCTCATACATGCATAAAAATGGCAAAGTAAGCTTTGGTGCGATTGTATCAAAACGTATCAAAGTATGAATTAAAAGGATTAAAAACATGCTAAAAATAATATGAAATAACAAAATATATACATACATATATATATCACTTAATAGTTATAGCAGTCAGTCTCGCTGGTAGAGATACTAATCATAAAAACTTATAATATTTATAGAATAAATTTTTAAAACTGTAATATAAAGATTAACATTCCTTCAGTTTCCCATGATGGCGGCCCCTGTCTGAGCTCCCTTTCGTTTGAGAAGAGTTATAATCTGCTCATGATTGTACTTGAAAGCGTCGTCAAGAGGTGTGTTCTCCCATCGATCAATTGGGTTGACGTCAACATGGCATTTATCTATCAGGAATTTCACCACGTCAAGCTGACCTGTTAAAAAAGATTATTTACTTGACGTCTTACTCGTTTGAAACAGTATTTGGCACACTGCAAAAACAGATACAACAAATAGTTTTATATACCCGATTGTACCTCATAATTAGGAATATTAACAAACCACAGTCTTAACTTTACTCCTGGCCAGTGACTTACCACCACAAACAGCGAGATGAATGGCAGTACGGCCGTCATAGTCGGGATAAGCGAAGTTTACACCTTCTTTGAGATACCGATATAGTGTCGTCATCGTTCCTTGGTATGCAGCAAAGAGCAGAATCAGACTCTGTTGGTCCTAAAATTAATTTAATCGTTTAATTTTGGAAACAAGATTATTATAATTGGTAGCGGTAATAAGTTATACTTATACTGTCACCGCATCAGGAACCCGAAAAAGACGCCAATACTGCCTGTCACCCCATCAGGACTACCAACTCAACAGACATAATACAGATCAACCATCATTATGCAGATTTCACGATCTGTTGTACGAGCATGGAACACTAGTGATTACTGTTTCCAGTACGTTGTGAGTGTGAGTGGGAGGACTGTTTGAGTATGAATGTGTCTTTTGTGGACTCGAATACTGATATCGCAGTTTAGTGATCATTGAAGTTGCCTTTTACTACTTCCTTTTATGTTAAATTATTATTTCAGCAATTATTTCTATTTCGGTTGTTTGTACGGGAGTTAAATTTTAAGTGATTTTGTTTTAAATTTTCATGATTCTTGAAATTCGAATTTTACTTACTCTAGATATGTTATTCATTCATGTATAGTCGAGACGATGGTGTTAGTGCCATCTCCGACAACTTTACGTTTAATTCCGTTTAATTCCGTTTAATTCCGTTTATAGTATTCGACGGCTTATCGGAGGGTCGTTAATCCGATTCTAGCTTTTGCACTTGTCTTGATTTTTTACGTAATCAAGCCTCATATTCAACAAGAATGCAACGCACACTACATATGAAGGGCAGGAATAAATTTTCAGGGGGGAGGGGGGGTCATGAGTATTTTTGAGAATATTTGAATCTGAAAATTTGACAATTTTCGCCAGGAATACTCAAAAATGTCTCAAAAATTATTTTTGAATCTCAGAAATTCAGCATGGATTTCTAATTTTCTCAAAAATTTTCCACTCAAAAGGGGACCTCAGGCTATTATGTTCATAGAGATTCGGCGGAATGACAGAGATTCGGCGGAATGACAGGCTGAGCGCGGCCCAGTAACTCAAAAGTAGTGATATACCAAATCATTCTTCATATCAGTGCAATATGGTCCATTGAGTTGAGATTTGTAACTTTTCTAAATTTACATCACAACAAAACACATAAAAATACTCAAAATCAATTTCTGAGAATGATAATTTGGCCATATTCGTCGGGACTCTAAAAAATACTCACGAACCGCCCCCCCCCTTATCAAACCTTGGTTTCATGAAAGTCTCTTCTCCTGGGGTCGATTTTGGTTCTGGATCTATCAGAAGGATCGAACTGGTGGAATACGAACCTATCCGTGAACAACTTGCAGAACTGAACCCCTCTAACAGAGTTTCTGCTCCTATCAAGTCTGGGCGAGTAGATACACATTCCCAGGACGTTGGGGATCACCACCATCAGCGCTCCTGACACGTTCGACTTGGCTGGCAGTCCGACCTGTGAGAAGTTTAATGAGCGGAAAAGCTTGGTAGACAGGGGGCGATACAAATCATAATTGTAAAATGGTATAAAATAAAGTTAAATTGTTTTTGATGTGGTTGATTACAATTTTGTTTGAGACCGTTGGGTACTAGTTAGTTTATTGCTACTGGACTTAATGAAAACATTGTCTCTGTATAATTTTATTAAAACTGAAATAAATGCGACAAGAGTTTTTAAACGGGTCACAGTATAATGGGCTAATTTTTAAAACTTATTGACCTCAAACATGAACTCTCCACTGTAATCGTTAACCCCACAACAGTTCATCATACTGAGACAGTTCCTCACAGCTTCAGGATACACCACTTTCTCTCCAGTCAGTGGACAGAGTCCACCAGATGCCAATGTAGCAGCCATCACAGAAGCGGCGTCAATTGACATATCAATTGCACTGTAGTGGATGAACAGTTCCATTGTTTGTTCTAGCGAGTCCGCCTAGAAGTTTCGAGTGATGTTTAAATAGGGAAAAAGAAATTGATAAATAACAAGACAAAAACCACCAGTCTAAAGCAGCGACAGATCAAATGTGTTAAATGGTCATTTCTGTTCAGTTTATAGATTAAAATATACAAGAAGCTTGCATGAAAGAGTGTGATGATGATGATGAAGGAGGATTAAATGCGGTAAGGAAACACTCGTGTAAAGAAATTTTTAGTAGGCCTTGATCCAGTGACCATTCCAGTGAAAAGTTTTATGCTTTTATCTTTAAACTGATCGATCTCAAAATATTATCAATAATAAATATTAGATTGAAGTGAATTCTCAGATCTATCAGGGCACATGATGAGTGTCAGTGGCTACAGAGTTGGAATAGTGTGGCCCATTATTTGCTGCTCAGTGCTCAATTACTTGAGACATTAACAGTATACCATTCTGATGAACAATGATACGTAATATGAAAGGCCAGGGTAGCACGGACCATGGTAGGAATTAGGAACGTCGCAGGTTAAAACGATATAGGAAGTGTAAAAATAAGCTCTAAAGCTCTGTTTCACAAGGCCTTGTGCGGGTTATTCCGATATGCAATTTTGATTACATTCATATCTCGTAATTATTCAAATATTTGCTGGCCTTAAAGTGCCAAGATATGAGCTGCAAAGACGTCTGAAAAATTCTGTACGTGTCTACTGGTAGTCCCGGCATATGTCTGTAACCATCATCTATTGATTAAATAGCAACATTATAACCAAAAATCAACAAGTAATGTAAAATTAAATTTGACGTTATTTCATAAACTGACGTTAGCCTCGTTGTTGAAACATCCATTCTCCCGTAAGTAATGACCGATGGCGTACAGTCGATTAGAATGGTCTTTCAAGGAGAGGGCTAGAGAGTTGTTAAACCCGACATACTCCTTCCCACAGAACCTGCGAATAAACTGGTAAGATCTAAATTCTGACGTACGAGCGATTGGAGTAAAGCCTGATTTGTCGAAGAGATAGGCGCATGGTAAACATTTAGTGTAGAAATTGATTTAATTTTCTTAGTTTGCGATTGGTGCGTAATATGTGGGTGGTAAACTGACGGTATATAATATTACTATTTGCTGGTTATTTATATTAGCTCTGTAGCTCAAATATCATCGAAATCATCTTAATTGCAAATTAAGGTACTCACTGCACACATTTCTTGAGGAAGTATTCAAATCTCTCTGAGAAGCAAAGGCTTGGTTTCATGAGGGAAGCCATGGTTAGTCCTCCAGTTAGAAGCAGAGGATTGTGAGGTTTCTTGTTTTTTAGGTTCAGGGCCTCTCCTTCCGAACCACTGGGTTCTTTTCCGATGTATCTATAGTGAGAATACAGTTGATTTTAATAATTTAGGCGATACGGTGTTTAAAAGTCGGTAGCCTTGGAGCAAAACGTTTATATTTTCATTGGTCATCTCACGCCAAGTATTGTTACTAACTGGTGGACGTAGTCTACAGATTTCTCGGTGCAAGTCAGAGCGTACAACAAAACACGGTTAAGGTCCTGGATCGGAAATGTTGTTTTGGAATCACCCAATGACAATCGTTGTCCGTCAACCGTACAAATGGATATGGCGTACTTTTCTGGATCAACTTTCGCCATTTGTGGTGTTAGATCGGCGACCTGGATGTTTTTGTACAGATCATTATAATATAAGTAATTAGACTTTTGAAAGTTTGATAAGAGCAGGATTCAATTTAATTCGCTCACATGAAATGAAAATACAATAAGTTGTCACCTACTTACTTTACTCACCTTTCCATGTTTTAAGGATTTGCACTCATCAAACATTTCCTTGATAACTGAGGTGAACTCACACCATTGAGGGATGACCAAATTTCCACAAAGAGCTTGTGTTATAAACACCATGTTTGATGACAGACATCTGAAAATAGTCCGATGAAAAATAATCTACTAAAATTAAATTCGGCTTATGGGCGGGTATAAACAACAGTATTTCAGAACTAAAATCATGGGAATTTTGAACAAGTGAGCAAATACTCAGATGATTTTGATGAGTCAAATCACATCAATATTAATATGATACTCGTCACTTCAATTTCAACTCACGCCTTGAAATCCTCCATGCTTAAAACTTCTGGGATACTTTCAGGATCGTGTCCTAATGCTTTAATCTTATCTATAGTATCTTTGAAGCGAGGATCACTTAGAGGGCGCAGCCCGTTCCTGCTAAGTCCCTGAAATATTAAAAAATTGTGAAATTAAGGATAACGTCTAAAAGACACCTATTAGTATAACTAAAAATAAATTGACATCAATGTATGATTAAAGGTAACGTTGGTCTTACGAATGTATCGATGGAGTTGTTAATTACAGTTTTACAGATTAAAACTTAAACTCACGTGAAGAAATTTAGCAGTGGAGACATCAACCCCATCCTCTTCTAAAAATTCGACCAAGAGACTTTCGTCGATAGAATTGCTGGCAACATTACTCACTTCCGAGCTGAAGAGGGCAAAAGTTTGGTATCCAACGAAGGATAAGATAAAATAACCAAATTTCGAATCAAAATCAAAATCCACTTTAATCGAATTGATTTTTTAAACCTTTAATTTAAATTATTCCCCGGGTATTTCGAGGTCAAAGGATTTAATTTAAATTTTATTGTTTTATTATCAATATTATGTCCCAAAACCAGACTTTTTCTGACATTCGTGAACACTGATTTTCTAAGAAATCGCTACTACCATCAAAATAACCCCAGACTTGTGCAAATTTATCTGGACGAGTGCCAAAAAAATCATCGAAAAACTATTAAAGAAGATGTAACCAGAAAGGTACGATTCGTGAAGTTATGTAATTGTAGGGATTGTAGGTGCCGCGGTATAGGAGTATAGGATCAGGGTCGGTATGTAGATTAAATATTACTCACTGCGCCTTGCTAGGTACCCCCAGAAATCCTGCTCCATCTGTTTCTGTCTTCTGGACCATTCTACGACCTGACTTGGACTTAGATTTACTTTTACCCTGGACCATGATACAGGAGATGGATCAACACAAAGCAGAAAAAAACGGAGCTTGTTTATTGTGTTTTATAGTAATATTGCAGTAATATGTTGTTATGAATACGATTAAATCAGCATAATTTTAGTATCAGAGCGGCGTGCTATCCTAATATTCTTATGTTCGGTAGCGAAGAAGAACGAAATTAACAAACCAATGAAGGAAAAGAATGAACAATCTCCACCAATTGGTCGGGTAGGATCTCAGCTATTATGATTTTTATCAAAATATGTTAAACAAATATATGCCTAAAACGCGTGAAGCTTGCTGTAAGGAGGCCTGGAGGCCGGCCCAACTGACAAATTTGGGACATCGAGACTGCGGACGTGAGATCGTTTCTATTGCTGACCAGGATTGCGTTATTAATACCGGACATGTTGTGGTATTGCGGTCTATCCGGTCATGCATTCAGCGAAATACGGATAAAGAATTTGGGAAAATTAAATCCTGGTCAAAGAAATCAGCCGCCATTGAACAAATAGGACGTTGCACAAAAACATTCACTAATAGAATAATAGAGTAATAGATGGAGGAGTCAATGCCAGAGAGGTCCAGTGCATAGGTACAATTTGTCAAGTTGCAGTCAATGAATCGTGTCTAATAATGTAATAGGTTTTGACTGATTTTATCTAAAGTTGGGAGGTTGGACGAAATCAAACAAATTGGTGTCTGGTGGCTTCCGATAGTCGAGATCATTGACATTGACGAATGAGATGATTGAATATAGGATCGTCAATTAGATTAATGGGTATCGATTGAATATTCATGAATCATCTGCCAGCGCCCCTCAGTCTCGATTCAAAGGGAGCAATTTAAACAAGCAATTTTAAACCGTGCATTAATTTGCTACATTCCGTAATTTTTGGTCCTCCAAAAATTTAGCGATCGTGAGTAGTCAGTTTAATGTGAATAACGATAGTTTAATTCACGAAGTCACAATGAAGGTTTGAATCCTGTAGTCAAATAAAATTAAAGGTTCAAAATTCTAGGTTCAAATCTCATCAGCAATCAGAACACGTGAAAGAAGAGAGCATTTAAAAAAACGCTTTTAACCTGACTAAATTTCTGCTCCTCTAGAAATTTACAAATGTTAAGAAGCAAGTTTACTGCAGTGGCCGATAATTTGATTCCGATGTAAAAATAACAAATGGCAATGCAATGTATCCATTATTAATTTAGTCGATTCCTAACGTTTAAATAAAATTGGGGAGGCTGCTGGCTGGGGAAGGAAAAGTGTGTGAATTAAAACTTGGATGATAAAACATGCACACAGCTAAGTGTGCCCAAAGCACTTGTTCAATAATTCTCATGAGTCACACGTTGATGTAATGACGTATTAAAAAAATATCATTTTGAACTTTTTTGATATCCCCCAAGCCAAAAACCCGACTTCTATTCCTTTATACTTTTATAGATAATAAATTAGATATTATAATATATAGATACTGGATAGCTACAAATTGGTACAAATACTGTTTTTCATAGGAGGGTGATTATTTCAGGAGAGAAAATAAAAATTTTAGGAAAACGACAGATATGCAAAAAGAGTTAAGAGAGTGACCAAAGTGTCAATCATTAAAGTGGACAAAACCTTACGATCGTCGATCAACCATAAAGATCAATAGAACTAGAGATATAGCACAAATAGTTTTAACAGATTCTCAGTATAGAAGTACAGCATAAGACTGCTTCTATTCGTGTACTCAACCAAACTCGTTTACGGTAGATATCAAATGTGAAAAGGAAAAAAAACTGAGCGATAAACTAATCAATTTACCCTCATAGAAAAATATGCAGTCTACACTCGGGTTGGATTTTTTTGTTTTCCACTAAAGATCAGTAGTCAGTACCTACTCTGTACATACAAATATATTTACTGCATTCGCATATGTTCCACTCTTTTAGAGTGACCGATTCCAAATAATGAGATTCAATCAAAATAGTGATAGGTCGGTTATGCAGAACAATAATCCTATCACACCGACTTCAGGAGATTATGACAAATTTTATGAAATTAGGGCACTCCGTAACTTGTTGAGTAAACAAAATATGGAGGTGTGTGGAGATCATAATTCATAATTGGGCTGATACTCCTGACAAATAATTAGGTATCATTCCTGCAGGTCCACACCACAAATATTACTGAAAAGCTCATTGAAATTATAACAAAACAATTCGGGACGCACATTAACTCCAGTATCGGTCTAATCTTGGTTCGTAGGCCAATGCCCAACGTGTTTACAAGCCTGGGCTCGTTACGTTGGAAATGTATAAAATTATTAAAAATTGGTCCACATATGGCAATTTTGGCCTAAGAGGTTCACAATCAAGGGTTAGAAACTTAAAGATTTGAAGTTGAATGAAGCGAGCTCATTTCGACCTTCAAAACTCAGAGAAGAGAATTAACCCTTTTTACATCAGAACCTTTTTGCAGTTATCCAAGAAGTTAGTTTTCGATCACCTTGTAGGTATTTGATGAGGTCTTGGACGAGGACCAAGCGTGCGTAGTTAAAATTTATTTAATCCCGGAAACCAGAAAAACCAATTAAGATTAAAAACTAGAGTTATTGACATTCAAGTTAATTGGATATGATGATATCTATAGATCCGACTCCTGTATCCAAATAACTGATTAACACTTTAAGCCTTAATTAATATGGTTGATATCAATTAAATATAATGTAATAAGAGCTAATTTGCCCCTGAAGTTAATCATATTGTATCGTATAAAAGTCCGTTAGGACACAGTTCATAATCATCATTTCAACTTTGCTTTAGTAGTGACTACTTAACAAGAAGTTTTTTATTCAGTCTTCCATTCAAAATTTATTTTACCACATTTTTATTCCTTTGAAGATTAGTACATTTTCTTGGCTTGTTTGTTGGACGAATTGTTGTTTTGGAAAGGACATTTTTTATAATTCTTTGTCTCTTTTTGTTTTCAATTCTAGTGACTGTAAGCCAATACCCAACCTCTTAGAAAAATTTCTTTCATAAATCCGAATGTATTACATAATTGTTTTTAGCTAGAAATTCAATTCTTAAAAAAACAATCACTTAACAATTTCTTATTTTAGCCAAGAAAACCAACAAGATGCCACTTGACGAGACCAACAACGAGAGTTACAGATACCTGAGGAGCGTGGGTAACATGTGGCAGTTCAACGTAGAGGATCTCCACCCAAAGATGATCTCCCGGCTCTACAAGAGGTTCGACACCTTCGATTTGGACTGTGACGGTAAAATGGAGATCGACGAGATCCTCTACTGGCCCGACAGAATGAGACAGCTGGTGAACGCTACTGACGAACAGGTCGACAAGATGAGGGCTGCTTGCTACACCTTCTTCACCAACAAAGGAGTCGACCCAGTCAACGGCCTTCTCAGGGAGGACTGGGTTGAGTCTAACAGAGTCTTTGCTGAGGCTGAAAGAGAAAGGGACAGACGTGGCGAACCCTCCATGATTGGTCTCTTGTCCAACGCTTACTACGATGTCCTCGATGATGACGGTGATGGTACAGTCAGTGTTGAGGAACTCAAGACCATGATGAAAGCTTTCGATGTGCCCCAGGAGGCTGCTTACACCTTCTTCGAGAAGGCTGACACAGACAAGAGTGGTGCACTTGAGCGACCTGAGCTCATCCATCTCTTCAGAAAATTCTGGATGGAGCCCTACGATCCTCAGTGGGACGGTGTCTACGCTTACAAATACTAACCAGAACATTTACCAACTCAATCCATAATTTGTGCATCCTCGGATATTCGATTTCCACTTTTTACCCTGACTTTCACAGTTCTCAATTTTAGAAACACTTAATCCAATAACAATTTACACATTGATATGATCTTTCCAAGAAACGCTGTTTTACTCTTGTTTTTCGTGATCTAAACCTTCACCACAGCATAATTATTTATTCAAATCGATCAAATTTGATTAATCAATCTCAATATGTTTTCTGATTATTCTCCAATCATTCAAAACATGAATACATTCACTAACCAATCTATTATTTTAGCCAAGAAAACCAACAAGATGCCACTCGACGAGACCAACAACGAGAGTTACAGATACCTGAGGAGCGTGGGTAACATGTGGCAGTTCAACGTAGAGGATCTCCACCCAAAGATGATCTCCCGGCTCTACAAGAGGTTCGACACCTTCGATTTGGACTGTGACGGTAAAATGGAGATCGACGAGATCCTCTACTGGCCCGACAGAATGAGACAGCTGGTGAACGCTACTGACGAACAGGTCGACAAGATGAGGGCTGCTTGCTACACCTTCTTCACCAACAAAGGAGTCGACCCAGTCAACGGCCTTCTCAGGGAGGACTGGGTTGAGTCTAACAGAGTCTTTGCTGAGGCTGAAAGAGAAAGGGACAGACGTGGCGAACCCTCCATGATTGGTCTCTTGTCCAACGCTTACTACGATGTCCTCGATGATGACGGTGATGGTACAGTCAGTGTTGAGGAACTCAAGACCATGATGAAAGCTTTCGATGTGCCCCAGGAGGCTGCTTACACCTTCTTCGAGAAGGCTGACACAGACAAGAGTGGTGCACTTGAGCGACCTGAGCTCATCCATCTCTTCAGAAAATTCTGGATGGAGCCCTACGATCCTCAGTGGGACGGTGTCTACGCTTACAAATACTAACCACAACATTTACCAACTCAATCCATAATTTGTGCATCCTCGGATATTCGATTTCCACTTTTAACCCTGACTATCACAGTTCTCAATTTTAGAAACACTTAATTCAATAACAATTTACACATTGATATGATCTTTCCAAGAAACGCTGTTTTACTCTTGTTTTTCGTGATCTAAACCTTCACCACAGCATAATTATTTATTCAAATCGATCAAATTTGATTAATCAATCTCAATATGTTTTCTGATTATTCTCCAATCATTCAAAACATGAATACATTCACTAACCAATCTATTATTTTAGCCAAGAAAACCAACAAGATGCCACTCGACGAGACCAACAACGAGAGTTACAGATACCTGAGGAGCGTGGGTAACATGTGG